GTGTGTGTATGTGTGTGTGTATGTGTGTGTATGTGTGTGTGTATGTGTGTGTGTGTGTGACTATATACTTAGTACATATATACATATATATATATATATATATTGTGTATATATTAATGTGTGTGTGTGTGTGTGTGTGTGTGCTGTTTATATTGATTCTTTTCGTTCTTATACGTATATACCCACTACAGGCCGTGCCTTCAGGATTAGATGGGAAGGACCTCCCCTACATAGTGCTCTAGAGCCAAGATCAATCGACTGGAAATGGCTAGAATCTGATACAGTTGAACAGCATGGATTAGTATCAACAATTGACCAAATGGCGAGTGACCCAGGCAGAAAAGCGTGGGAGCAGTTATGGTTGGGTCAGAACTTATCGGACTATAATCGAGAGTCTCGCACCGTGCAAATCCAAATTAATCGGGACCAACTATTCCGCCTATTTCAAAACCCACACTATCGCGATACACTATAGTATGGGTCTGCGTGTGGACAGTGCGTTTGGTTGTGCAGTGGACTATTTGTTCCGTATACATCCGGACGTAATCCAAGACCACGTTCAAGTATGGCAGCGGGTGTCAGAGCTGGCTGATCCCGTGGCTTTGTTTCGCCATAAACCTTTCGCAGGGCATCCACGCCAGCGCACGAGGTATATATATATATATATATATATATATATATATATTTATATATATATCCAGCACGTGTGCGAGTGACAAATAACCTGCATTCAAAACAGACACACTAGACAGAGAGGCTCTTGGAAATCACTTGCATATTAATAGATCACGGATGGCTCGCACTGATATGCAGCACAAGGAATGCGCCCTCAGTCCACTGCACAATGTCTTTGGTAGAAGTCACTTCTTTCTGATGCACTGGATATGTATATGTTCGTCCTGTGACTCATCTATCTGTATATATCCCCTGTGTTCACACATGTACACCTTCAGGCAGTCATTGGCATTCACTTCTTTCTGATGCTCTGGATATATATATGTTCGTCCTGTGACTCATCTATCTGTGTATATCCCCTGTGTTCACACATGTACACCTTCAGGCAGTCATTGGCATTCAGATCCGATTCCACGACGATGTGATGATCGGCCGGCGCGCGTGCGACAGCGCAGAAAACATGGACTTCGCTCGCCAATACCTGGACTGCGGACAACAACTACAGGCTCAGCTGCACAAGCACCACAACGTGACCGCCAAACTCTTCCTGATCACCAACTGCATGCCGGTTAAAGTAGCGTGGGTGGCTGACATGGGCAACGGCATCATCACAGACAACAGCTTCAGACCGCGTCATACACTGCGCCTGCACGACGATGAAACCCAGGAGCTCCGGAATACCATCAGCGACATGTGGCAGTATGGTCTGTGTGACCTGTTTGTCAGGGCAGAGGGCAGCCAGTTCGGCAAGACGGGTGCCCTTCTGTCCCTTTCACTGTACTCGACCTGGTTGCTGCAGTCCTGGGATCCTAAGCCACGGCCGGAGGCTCCCAAGTGTACACTGGACAACTACACTCCGTTCTCTGTACTCGCCACACAGCACGTGGACTACTGATGAGTGCACGGCGTCAGCGTTAAATGTGCTTGATCGGACGATTGTCGCATCGTCAGGCGTCACGTACAACACAGAGGTTGCTGCTATCTACGAGTGCACGGTTTACGTGTGCTTCGTATAGGACCAGTGTGCTGGTATGAACGTACCACATAAAGCACTTGCCGTTCAGCAATTTGGGGCTTAAAAAGTCCCGGACACTTTGCTCGTCCTGCTCACTCAGCGCAGGTGCATGCGACGCGCTTGAATATATGATCGCACGTTGTACAGGGGACTTGTGTGCACTGAGCGAACGTTGCTAGAATCTCATAGCACCTTCCAGAATGGCACACGTCCGTGTGGATGAATATGCATACAGACAACACTTGATATGAGTGCATAATACTGATCAGTGCTTTAGTACGGGCTAGTTCAACCGCTTTGAAGTAACTGCATGCTGCATGCACACTACGAGCTACCATACACACACACGTGCATTTGCCACATGACCACAGACGCGCACACGCGCTCCTATCTATGGGTCTTCTGGGAGTGTAGAAAACAAGCCTCGCCTGTTTACACGCCTATATCATGTGCATAAGTACATTCAACCTATGTACATCGCATTGCATGCCACCGCCGGTGTTTGGCGAAATATATGCGTGGCGTATGGCGTAACCGCTCGATGGCGCGTCTACGAGTACCTATCCTGCTGACCTATATACGGGATGACGCAGATGCCAATAGCAATGAGCACACATGGTTGATATGCACTGGCCAAGCACACCCGCCCACGCCTCTCAAAAGCACTCCTCTGCGCGGTCCACGACCACGTGCAATTTGCACTCAAGAACACACGCGCTATAAACAGCAAGTGCAAAGCTAAACACTGTCTATGTAGGCACGAATTCCGCAGCAGTGCCTGTGAGTGATGTGATCACCCTGGGCCTTTGGCTGCATGGTCGTATACCTCACAGCACAACTCATAAATGTCAATCGTAAGAGAGAAGTTGTCAAGACCGTTGCGCGACCGTGGGCGTGTGCGGAGGGGTGTTGTCGTTTCGGCAAACATTCAATCGCGACCCCGGTTCCGGGATTTGTTTGCATACGAACACTGAGAGTGATGAAGTAGACAAGTAACTTCGACTAGCCGCAATAGAAATAGAAATGCTGAGAGTAATGAAGTCCGACGCGAGTGGTGAGTGGGTGAAAAAAACTATTGGCGTGGATTCTATGCAGGTGGCCCGACAACGGATTTACTATCAGCACTTTGAGAGGAGTGCTAAATTGATTGCATGCTAAATGAAAGCAGCAACCAATGGTATGTCCAGCAATACTGTGTACTCAACCTCGCAACATGAGCGTATGTGTTTGTGTTTTCGGAGAATCTGAGTGTAGGTAATTGTATTGTCGGAACATGGATGACGACAAAGGCCAATTCTCCAAATGCAGACTATGCGTAAATGAGTGTGTCAACACACAGGAAGTGATAGCTGTGGGTAGATTGCCGGTATACGATAGTGAAGTGTTGGACTGCAGGTTCCTACGGTTCGAGACACACAGCTTGGACATTCCATACCAGGGCGCTTACTGCATATGTGGTTGGTGCAGAGACTACAAGTTTTTGATTTTCGCAAAGGTATAAAACCTCATTTGAATTCAGGAGACAGGGATATGTAAGTAACGCGTAAAAATTTCAAACAAACAAAAATTGAAAAATGAAACGCATATTTCCCACATTTTATGACCATATTAAATGCTGATTGGTGCCAATAGTGTGTACCATCTCACGGTACAGGTGACTGCTTGGGGGGGGATGGGGTCGACAAACGGATTCAGCTTTGAGTCGTTATAGGCCTATTTGTTGTTTACGCTAGTTCGTGTTTAGTTTAGACCCCCGCGTTAAACCATGCGTGTACTCCAATAAGGTTTAGTGTACATTCACCACATCAATAGCATGCGCTCGTGAATATCCATAGGTTGACCAACAAAGCTTTTGTACTTCACGACCCCTTTGCAAGACTCCTCTAGCCACACATGTTAGTCGTGCACCTTTTATCCCGTCTCCTGCAGTGTCCGCAGCCATTGCCAGACCGTCTCGTTTTCGATCCTGACACCACCCCCCTGCACATTCACACCATCCATGGCCATTCCATGTCTTTCAAGGGCCAAACATATGGCCTGTTTCAATACAGGTTTACCGGTTCGTGTCCTAGAACCCCCGGTGATGAGTTCTATATCCTCCCCTTTCTCCCGAAGGCTGTGCATGAGAGCAGTCATTGTGCTTTCTACATAGCGGTCGTGTGCATTCCGCCAATCCTCATACTCGGCTATTGTCAGATCAATCGCTGTAGATACTGTGCTATCATTCCTGTATAATTGTCCATCGTCACCTGACTGTATGGGCTTCTCTAGGGTTGGAGTGTCGCTACGTGCAAATTGTTCATTCCACCAGGCGTGATCACGGTCCCTGTAGCCCTCCAGTGCACTCGTGGCAATGCTTTTCAGCAACAGCCCAGTGTAAACCAACGCTTGTTGGCCAGACAAGTAGTGGTAGTCGAAATGGTTTGGTTTAGCGTGTGTGGGGTAAATTCGCTCGTCGAACGCTTGCATAAGTATACTCTCGCACAGCAACACTCGGTCTCCCTTATCCGGGCGGTACCATGCGCCTATGATTGACTTGTAGAACTGAGACGCACTACTGTGCTTGCCCACGGCGAAGCGGAAGACTCGCAACGCCGCCCGCTTCGCGCGCACGTTGTCATGTTGATGTTGCGCAGGTGCGTGTTGTGGTACGTCGGTCAGCTGTATGGCGTGTGTATCATCTAATCGTGTGGGTATATCCTGTGGTTTAAGGTTATCCTTGGCCGCAATGGTCGCGGGGGTCTCTAATTGGGGCTCCCTCACCGAATTAGTAGCATGGATTGGTGCCATGTCAGGGCCTGCCTGTGTATCTGCACGTACGTCCGTGACTGAAGTGTGTGTCTGGGAGGGGGAATGCTTCAGCTTAGCATACTTGAGTCCCTCCACGGGGATCTGCAAATCATACTTTCCGAACATATAGGGATTGCCACCCAGTGTATTGATAAGGGAATCGTACAAGACTACGGGAAAGGTTGTCCGCTTTGCCCGGCTGAGTATGTGGTCCGCAAATCTTTCGGCCACATGCATATCCTCGCATGTTTTGCACAGCTGAAACAGCCGCGTGTACATGGTTTGTGAGGGATTGAGTTTGAGTGCCTTCATGTCATCAAGCAATGCCACCGACTTGTGCAGTTCATTCTGGGCCGCGTACTCGTTGAACAACTCTTTGTATAAGCGGCGCATGCTACCGGTACCTAATTGGGCGACAATGCTATCTGAATTCACAGCCCTGTCCGATGATGCAGAGGTGTGCGTGTCTGTAACTCCCTCCATTGAACCACCGACAGCTGTGCTGGTGTCGCTAGTACCACTGACTATGGTATCATCAGGACCACTGTGCACACCCAATGCTCGATCGCACAAACCGCGCAGATACGGCATGAACTCATCCAAACGATGCGCTTGAGCGAACGATTTGATAAGAACACTGCAGGTCTCGATGGTGGGTGCGATGTATGTGACCCCGTCCCCTCTCCCACCCAAGCCTATGCGGCTGTCCTCCCGTGTGTGCGCACGTGTAGCTACATCCAACACATCTTTGCAGTAGTCCAACGAACACATCGATTGGTTGGCCGTGTGCAGCACACTGTTGTACGTGAGTTGATCTGTGCGTATGCCCAAGCGGTTCATCTCCTCGTACAAGCCGAGGGCTCGGTCATATTCGCCCGTCTTGGCGCACAGGCGAATGGCTCGTCCGTAGTGTAAGCCTGTGCGTCCGTGCTGAGGAATGAGCTGCAAAACAGCCTCGCCATCTCCCGCCAGCAGCAGTTGCTCACACACATACAACGAGATATCGTACGCTGCAACCACCCACGACGGCAGCTCCAGCCTGGTCTGGGTGGGGTCGTATGCACGCGGCATGTCGGCATCTGTGAACACTGTGGGTATGCTCTGCATTAGTGGTGTTATGAATGTCGTCTCTCCGCTGGGATGTGCACGTGGTGGTGCACCGTCAATACTAGACCCGCCAGCAAGCTCGTCCGCCAAATCCATGCCTTTGCTTAATTTGGCCAGGACGCTATACAACAGGCGCTTCCTCGCGTCGCTGCCATTCTGCATCGCGCCCGCGGCGCTTCGCAAATGGTTTTTGGACTTCAACACGCTATCCAACAGCCACATTGTCTCGCTCGTGCGGCCACTGCGCACGGTACTGTAGAGTGCTGTGGTGAGGATGTGTGGCGTGGGCAGCACCCCATCGGCTACCATGGCCTTGGTCAGATCCAGCAACCCCTGCCATCGCGCACTTGCGCGGTCGTATAAGTGGGGTGGGGGGTGTGTCTGCGAGCCGTCCTCTGTATGAGATGCACCTGCACCACCCCCGCGTACCGTTCGCATCAGCGCATCCATCCTCTGCGCGTTGGTTTCTTTCACGGAGAGATTGGGTTCTGCAGCTTCTTTCGCCATATCCCTTCGTTGCCGCAGGCCCTGCCCGCCTTGCCTGTGCCTGGAGCCTATAGGCCCAGTCTTAAATTGCGCCCCCAACGCCGCTGACTGCATCGCTAGCGTATCCGCCTTAAACGCGCTGTTGGTGGCCATGAGATAATAGCACAGATTCTGCCGCTGCTCGTGCGTGCCTGCGTGTGCAAACATCTCCACTAAACCCTTAATGCCCGTGACGTCCGTCTGCTGCGCCTCCGCAATACTCCCCACACTCTGATCCAGCAAGCGCAGCTGATGCAACAAGCGCGACGCAATGGCCATCACCCCACGCGCATGCTCGTTGTCCCGTCGTGGCACATTGCCACACGCCATCAGTAGGTAGTGCATGGTGGTGTTGCCCAGCTCACTGTTGCGCAACGCCGCAGCACTTGGTCTGCCACCGAGGTCTAGTCTTGTCGTGTCGCTCCCGTTTGGTGCTGTATCGGACTCCTTCAGCACCCCACCTACTTTCGTAGACTCCTGTGCAGCGTGCAGAAAGCCCTCGCGCTGCATGCCGCTCTCGAAGACCTCGAATGCGTTGAGCACGTCCTGAAACGCCGCATGTTTCCAACATACTTTGGTTGTGTCGAGTAGCATCTGTGTGTGGTCCAGCGCAACCAAAGTCTCTCGGTTGATATCCAGCTTGTTGCTGATGTATTGGGAGGCCTGTTCCGGTAGCTTCGACGAATAAAATGCATCCAGTAACGTATACCGCGGCATGAGTGCACGGCTGGCCCTCGGGCTACTGAGTAGCAAGCGCAGCGCAGTTATGCGCGACCAGTGCTTCTGCCGCTGTAGTATATCGAACAACCCCTCGATGTCCACGCGCCTGAGATCGCTTATGCGGACGGTGTGAATTTGGCTCGCTACCGGAACGCCCATCATACGCCAAGCCTGTTCCGACGTTGCACATGACTCCAGTGCCTGTGCCAGTCTTTTGGTTTCTTCAATGAGCCTTGCCACACCACTGTATTCATGCATGGACGCATCCACCAGCAATTGTAAAACACGCACACGCGACGCGGTGTTCTTCATTGTCGCTGTATCTGCCTGTGTGCCTGATGCCACCCCCGCAGCCATGGAAGGAAGAATCACGTGGTACAAATCGTCCGCACGAGCATCCGTAATCCCATCAGCGAGAAGCAGCGCAGCCTTCATTTGATGGTCTGTAGCTGCCGGTCTGATATGTATCTTGTCGTACTGGCGTGTGCGCAGTAGCACGTTGATAGGGGCCAATTTCTCTGCCTCCGTGAGACGTCTCTGTCTGTGCTCACCATGTGTCGCCTGCACACCCGGGAGATGCCCTACACCCCGATCGTTCGGCGTTGCACCCATACCCGTGTATGGACTCCCCACCGGCACTCGCTGCTGGAAGGCCTGTGCATATACGGCCACCAAATGCGAAAGCTTACCCGCGCGTCTGTACGCTGTGACGACGTTCCCCGCAAAGTAGGTATTCTGCATGTTGCTCAGACTCCAGATCGACCTGCCCTTCCCTCCCAGCTGCTTCTGCATGTCGGCGACAATGCGCAGTGCATCCTCGAATCTCTCGGCCTGTGTGCACGCCAACACCGCATGATGCTGCGCGGCAGCCAACACCTTCTGCGCCTGGATATGCGAGTAGTTAACTCCCGCATGCAAAGAGTTGAGCAGCCGTACATGCTGCACCAGACCGAGGGCTTCCTCCCACTTTCCCAGTTGGCCAAGCATACTGGCCGTGAAGTTGATGCAATAGTGGTGGCACTCAAGCGCCTTACCACACAACATAGCCACTTCACGGGCTTTTCCCGAAGTAGGCGCCGGTAGGCCGTTCTTGTGGGCATCGCTGAGGTTGCGAGTATGGGCTTGTCCGTTTGCGCCGAGTGGCTGTTCTCGTTCGACTTCGTTCTCCGAACGTAGACGGACAGGCACGGTGGCTAATATCCGTGCTTGCTCGTGCACCCGCTCCAGATTGCTATGCCATGTGTGTCTGGAGCTCCTGTTGATTGCCGTCTGCAACGCGCGTTTGGTAGCGTCCAGATACTGCTCAGTATCACCAAACCGCACGTACTTCTTCCCTCGGCTGTCTAGCACTCCCCAGCCGTAAGCCTTTCGTCCGTACACATGTGCGACTTTCTCCTCCAACACCGCGGGCAGCTTATGGCCCTTTTGCTTGCAATACTGGGCAAACAACACATCCACCATGTAGTACTCGTTGTGCTGCAGATACGTATTCAATGCTTGGCTATACGCTGCGTCTCTCTCGTGCTGGAAGATGCGTTCAGCCACGAGTTCCTCCCCAGAAACCCCGGGTACAGGCCGCAACTCTTGCATATGCGCCATCAGAGCCACCACGTGGGCGTCCAGCGATATCCCACGCTCACTGAATGCACTGCATACGCTGTTAATGGTTTGCGGTAGGACGGGCACGTCTCGCAGGTGCATGTCTTCCAACGTCTTCAGCAGATCGGACACTCGCGTGGGCTTGGCGTTTGCGATGGCCACCACAAGTGAGTGATACATGTTGTTCGTAGGCGCCAGGCCTCTCTTTTCGCATATGTCCATGGCGGATGAAACGGCTTCATGATCGCCATGGTGGGCTAGTGCGTCCAGTATGGGATGGAGCGTGCCTGGTTTCAGCGGCAGATGCTCACTCTCAAACAACTTCAGCATATATTTCGTGCTCTGGCTCCCCGCCTGGCCATGTCTGTAGTCCCATAGAATGTGCTTCAGGTAATGCCGTGTCCAGAACGCCACAATACCCTCCGCACTCGTGTCAGGCACAAGCGTTGCCTCGGCGACGGAACTTGACTGCTTAGCCAGCTGTGAGACGAGCGCCGATGCACCTGTGTGTGTTTGTGCGTGTACGCGCACACGTGGATTCTTGTCCTTGGCATGTTTAGCCGCCGTATCGTCTATCTGTTCCAGCATGTCTAGGGCTACTGTGTACTGGCGCATTCCCACATGGGCCATGGCCACTATCTCCAGCGTTGTGCTGTTGGGTTCTAAGCGCATGCGTTTGACCTCCTGATATAGCTGCAGGGTGCGCGCAAACCCCTTCGCCCCTAAAACCGGGCCTGCAGCGCTAACAGCTTGCACTTCGGTACTATTTGCCTTAGCCTCAAACTTGCGTACCAGCATTTTCAATCTCTCATCTGGAACCCAGCCAATGACCTCCGACTTGGCGATCTTGTACACCTCCAGAGGCGGAAGTGGGTCAAAGGCAACCTCATCCAGCCTCAGCTGCTCCCTAAGCTTGACATTATACGTGTACAGCGACGGCATAATCCCCGCAGACTTCATACTCCGTGTGATAGCCGCAGCGTACATCTGGCTCCCATTGATGTAGCACAACTGCAGCGCCGTATTGAGCACCAGGGGGTCGTTCATAAGCACATCCACATGATGTACATCCACTCTAGTCAGCCCCAGGCTTCCGGCTTTCTCACGCTCTCCCGTGGTTTTGATGTTCAACAGCCGTCTCATATCGTCAACGGATTTGTTGGGTTGGTCGGTGTTTGTATTTCTTGTACTGGTGTCAAGTGTGGCCGTCGATGCCTCCAGCCTCGCCGCGCGTTCCCAAGGATCACTCTTCAGCGCAGCCGCCATATCAGACAATAAAACAGGAATGTTTATGCTCTTCTGCCCCTCGCACGCACGCAGCATAGACACCACCCGCGCAGGTGTCATGGTCATCCTCTCCTCCGCCAGCTCACGTACTCGCTCCATGGCCCGTTTCGTGTGCCCGTGCTGTAGCAGCACCTGCACAACCATTTCGTACACGTGGTAGGCACTCTCCCTACCCACCATGCATTGCTGCCGTGCAATGGGAGCTGCTTTCTCCAATCGTTGGTACTCCGTGAACAGCGCTTCGGCATCATCTGGCCTGCCCAGTTGTCCGTACACATACATGAGAGACCTGTACGCCTCCAGTGACACTACCAACCCCTGCGAGGCCATGTCTGCCCGCAGCGCGTTCGCTGTACTAACGTCTCCAGCTAAGCTCAGGGCACACACAGCGCTGTTGTACACGTTGTTTGTGACCGACCTAGACCACCCTTGTGGATCAAACATGGGGTGCAATTGAGCCAGAGCCAACTCCTCGCGGCGGTGTGGCAGCTGACTACTAGATACTATCTGGCTTTGTAGTAAATGCTGTATGCCAGCAGTATCCTTACGCTTCCCGTATAAGCGTATCGCCAGGTCATACGTGGAAACCCTGAATAGTTATTTAGTTAAAATTGTAGCAAAAACCATGAGTATAAGATCTATGGATGCATAAGTGGTTTAGAACGCTCACCAATAAACTCAACATAAGGCAACAAAGTAAGTGCCAAAAAACTGCATAGCTGTAGATTGTTTGACTGTATAATCATGTCCTCAGCGAACGGCACAGTAAAAGGCTCATAGCTGTTGATTGTTCGTGACTGCATGGTCAATACACATACGTATGTCCTCACAAGCGAACGGCACAATAAAAGTTACGAGTCGAATGGCGACTTAAACGAAGCAATAATAACTCAAAATCTAAGATCACGCGCAAACTTCTGATATTATTTTTGTCATGTAAATGCACTCGACTGTTATAATCACAGTATAGAGACAACGAGCAAAATAAATGGTAACGAAAGCTCTTCCTATGTTGGTGTACACTTACAAATATACGCCATGCACGAATAGAACTCGCACAACACAGATGATCGCGTTAACGTATTGCGCATATCACCATCCATTTGCCAACCAAAAACGCATTCAATAACAGCACGCAACAGAGTGTTTGCAGTAGGTACGATCTAGTTCAACTGTACTGCCGAGTCTGACAAAGGTGCGCAGGCAGGTGAACATCGTGCTTGTACTTCTCGTTGTATCTTATGGGGCATGCCAGATTGTGTCCGCATAAACTGAACGCAACCGCATGAACCGTAATACACATGCATATGCATGTACACACAGAATCATCTATACAAACAGACAATAGTGTAGATACGCAGGCCCAGGTACTGGCAACCGGTGCAGGATCATTAAATTTTGCAACTACGGAGATACTCGTACACACTCTGTTGTGAACATTCAGACCACACAAGCGTTCCAACCTCGATAGTCAGGTGTTAGGTTGATTAAAAGTCGTGATGAAGACATCGAGCACCTTAATCAAAGTCTTGATTTAGACATCGAGCACCTTAATTAAAGCCGTGATATAGACATCGAGCACCATAATTGAAGTCTTGATACAGACATCGAGCACCCCAATTAAAGTCTTGATATAAACATCGAGCACCTTAATTAAAGTCTTGATAGACATCGAGCACCTTAATTGAAGTCGTGATAGAGACATCGAGCACATTAATTAAAGTCTTGATATGGACATCGAGCACCTTAATTAAAGTCGTGATATAGACATCGAGCACCTGAATTAAAGTTTTGAAATAGACATCGAGCACCTT